TGTTTGACGAACATGTGTTCGGCTGTTTAAAGATCATCAGCTCTCTTCTCAGTTAGTGTAGGGTTCTTATAAATTTTTTTCTTTCAGAAACATCAGAAACAATAGAACCATCGTGTTTGGGTTTATGAAATTGGTCTTGATGAGTAGTAAGCTTGCATATTGTGACTTTTTTAGTCTGTCTTTTTTGAAAACGGAGTAAAATGACATTTGGAGAGTAGCCAGTTTTTTCAAAATTTTCAATAGTTATGTAGTTAGTTTTATCGATAGATTGTGAAAAGAGACAAAATTTTGCCAAAAATGACTGAATTGTGTACATGTAATTATGACGTTCTTCTAATGATCACTAATTGCATTATTGCGTTCTTTATTCTTATTTTGACAGTTGGCCTGCTAGTATCGAGATCAGTTTTTATTCATATACATTTTAACAAGAATAGCCGGATTTGATTACATTGAATTAAAATAAAAAGCTTTAAAATATGTCTCCTCTTTGTATTTTTCATAAACATAGTTCTAAATACAGTGTATGTGCGTATGTATGTATGAACAAATGAACTTGTGCTCAGTAATTGGATGAATAATGGGTCCAGGATGATTCACATGAAACAAGTTCGGCTATTTATTCCATTAGCGTGACCAATATTCAGTCGATAGAATATTTATCGACTGCAAACACTAACACTTACTGTCATTTTACTCAGTCTTCAAAAAAGACAGACTATAGAGTGCGCAGTTTTGTACCGGGAATTTAAAATTTAAGTGTTATTTTAGAGATTAATATAATAATTGAACATATTCAGCACGAACCACCGCTAACAAAAAATACGACGTAGTCATATGGTAACCACGATATACCTAAACAACGTTCATATTCAAACCGCCCTGCTACGCATTAAGGTATCGAACGATGCTTTAATAACCACAGCACTTCAGGTAAGTGTAAAAGGTATTAAGTTTTTACAGCTTTATACTGGTCGTATAACGTTTATATTGCCGGCTCGTGATACAGATTTAGACTTAGGTAATCCAAGTTAACGACGTCGCGTGGCGAATTGAAAGGAGCTTGGTCTAGTCAATGAAACGGTAATGAAAGTGCGGTGAGACACGCAACTTGGGAGTGTTTCCTTTTGTACGTATGACAAATAACTAGTACCTACTTTAAAAATGTTAAATTTGTCAATTATGTGCCTGTTCCGACTTACTGTCCTAACAAGCATCAGGCAAATTTTTTAGTACAATGAATTTTCGGTTGAGCACTTTAGATCTTTAACTGCAGTGTCAATTTTTTTTTATGATACAGAACAAGTTGTGGGCCTTGTGGTAAGCAACAAGCCTGTCCGTAACAGTTGCACTGCCAGACAGAGTTTTAAATCGCAATGATCTGAGGGGCACTGCCACTGCGCCGGTCACCCTGAGACATAAGTTGACAAGTCCCATATTCATCAGCACCCTTATCAAAACCGGAACGCAATAATAGTCACATTACTGCTAGGCGGCATAAATAGGTAAGTAGAAATAGGCAATACTTTCCTGGATGAACTCTTACTGCTAATAAATTTCATTTTATCAATGAGCTATATTTATGTATTCACGTCTTTCTATAGTAACGACCCATGTGAGAAATATCTATTTGATTACAAAGACATTTAAAAACTGAGGCGTGGCGTGTCTGACGAGCAAAGCCAACAAATCATATGCCAAATGTTGTTACATCTCTTCGAAAATCTTCTTCACAATCATGTTTAGCCACGGATTTGTACATTAAACTGGACCGCGCACTAAGTTAATAAAACGAAACGAGTGAGAGGCTTGAAAGTAGTAATGCGTCTCTTTCTAATAGGTGTTCTTAATTTTTCAGCCAGCCATATTGTTTTTAACTTATTAGTTTTTACAGAAAATGTGGCCGGTTATGACCAAAACTACTAATATTATTTCATAATACAAATTAGTATACTTATTTGATATGCTACTTCATAATAGAAGGTATCATTGTTAACATTTTTTTTATTATTATTACAAGCATATAAACCAAAATTTAAAAAGTTAGTAAGACTAGATACTACATAAGAAGATTTTATTTTGCGTTGGCAACTTGTTAGCAAGGACAGACCACTACTTCCAGCTATCTCACGTGACTCGGTTTCTTTACTTTTACTTAAAATAAACCTTAATTTAATAAAATATAAGGTGTAAATTTGTAATATTGGTATATCGAATTGAGCGATCCGGTTTATGAAGTACATAAATTCGTGTATTTAGCACATTCACAATACAGCTATGTAATAAATAAAGAATTATACTTGGGCTTTGAAAATTCTTGAAAATTAACGATATATTAAGCATGCATTGTCCATAGATATATATATATAGTCCATAGATAGTAAACATGTTCCACACTTTAGCATGGCGACTATTAGAAGTACTAGCGTCATTAACATCTGGGTCACAATTAAATAGTATATGCCATTGATACGATAAGAAGAAGATGGCTATCGTAAAGCAAAGCATAGTCCGGATAAAGGGTGGCTTTATAGTCAGGTTTTTTGATGCGTGTCCAACCAAATTAGACGGTGTCCGGTTTTCGTTAGGCTTTTTATATTTCAAGCGAATCTGGACGACGGACGTCGAGACGTCGTTTCCGCCAGCCGCCATATTATTGTTATTTCACTACAATTGACAAAGATTTTTTAACAAATAATCAAAAAGGACCCGTTTCCCATCATATTAAAACTATGACACAAAATCCTTAAAAATGTAGGTGTCCGGTCTTTTTACCCAAGTATCCGGATAAAGCGTCTGGCCCGGCTATTCGGTATTAATACCCGGCCACCTTAGTAAAGGACTTATTCCTACTATTATTATTTAAGAGCTAGGCTCTTGTCGGCGGAGTAATCGCCAATCATCTCTTTTTTTGAGCTTTAGCCTTGATTTCCTGATACGAACCGACATTAACTTTTTCCTTTATCTGATGTAAATAACTTCGTCTCGGTCTACCTCTGCCTCCCTTACCTTCGATCTTCCCTTCTATTATGTTTCTAAGAAAACTGTCGTGACGCATCAGATGACCAAACATTTCCCCTTCGGTTCTCTATTGTCTTTAATAAGCTTCTCCTTGTAATAACTATTCTTAACACCTCCTCATTGGTCTTTCTTTCCGTCCAACTGATTCCCTCCGTTCTTCTCTAGCACTACATCTCAAATGTTTCCAATCGTTCTCTGTATCTCTGTGTCATTGTCCACGTCTCACTGGCATACAATGCAATATTCCAAATATACACTTTTATCAATCGTTTCCTGGCCTCTTTTGAAATTTTTGCTTTTAAGCCTTTTTAGCTATTGCAATTCGTTAAACTATGTCCGAGTAAAGTACTACTCACATACTGAAAAACTAAACCAAATGTACCGCCAACGTACTTGTACCGTTTGAAAACTTATTTAATCGTATTTTACCCTCACCGCAGTGCGAACTTACCCTTATTATGAACTTACCATCTTACTATTATTATATTATCAAGTGAAAATCACTATTAACAAATTAAAATGTCACGAACAAAAGCTGTATACATAATAATATAGTGCGACTACGTTACAGCTGATGATATTTTCATGGTAATAATAAGTTCAGAAAAAACCGATCACCTGGTGCAGGATGTCCCGGTTTTCTGTTACACACGGTAAAGTTCCCATTAGAAACTATAACAATGGAATTGTAAATTGTTAAAAAGAAATTTCTTTTTATCAATTTACATTAATTGTTAAAAAGAAATTTCTTTTTAACAATTTACAATTCCATTCTTCATTTCATTTTCGTTATTTTAAGTAATAGTTCCAAAGTTATTAACTTAATAATTTTAAGTTAATAACTTTGGAACTATTACTTAAAAAACAAACAGTAGACTAATTAAATAAATTGACAGTTCGACAAGTTTTCTTTAGAAAGAACCGAAAAAATGCGTCATCAACCGAGAGTTCGTAAACTGAAGCAATTTACTTTGAATAATGTTAATTAATAGAACAATTCTAATTAAAAGTTTTTAGGAAATTAAAGTTTTTATATTCCCATGGATCGTTGTACCAAGTCCCAAAACTATAAGTTTGTTTGTGAAGCATAATAATTATTAACAACCTCTCGTGTATAGCCCGCAGCTGAGCACGACATTTCTCTAGGGAGAGGGTTTATCGCCTACCGATTTCATACACTATACATGCGCTATATACAGTTACTTTTCAGTCCCTTGTTTTGTTAGCAAAAGGTCGTTTAAGAATAAGGTAATGGGTTAATAGTTTATTATTGCACCAATCAACGCACATAAACATGTGAGATGCGAGATCGAAATCTCAAGTATCACCACAGATATTCATTTAAAATCAGTGGTGTGGTTAAAATCGGCAGTATGCAGCTTGTATGTCGCTTCTAGTGTGACGTCACAAATAGATATTATCGTATATATCTAACTCCTAATATACGAAAGTTTGTACATACTCGTACATAAATTTAAAAAATAGGATTCTGTTTTTACAACTGATCTTAAAAATAGACGTTAATAGAACCTACTTCAACCACAAGAAAAAACGGTTTACAAAACTAAAAAATACAAAATTATTTTTTTAATTGATAATATAATAAAATAGACAGACGTTACGGGAAGTGAATTATGGTGCCCTAAAGACGATTAACTAAACTTAGCTCGATAAAAAAATCGCAATGTTTCGCAAAATTTTAATTTTTACTACGTTCATCTACGGTAATTTTTATTCGATTGTTATTAGGTACAGATATTTCTATGAATTTTCTCTCATGAGTAAATTTTATTTCTAAAAGGTTTATATTTAAACATCGTGCAATGAATTTCTCCGCGTCTAGTTCACATGCTTCAATGCATACGGAACCATGATACCATTTTGCCTCAAATTCGAGTCTAATTTGTTATGTTAAAAAAAGCATTTTTTAGTTATGGTTATGAAAGCGATGGGAAAAATAAAAAGATATTGGTCCTTACCCGTCCAACTCTGCAGTCTCAATGTAGCAGAGTCCATTGGGCTCTGAACTGCTGAGAAGCAGAATGTCCGCAGCAACAAACTGATCATTCTCTAACCGGATGACGTCTCCCACTTGAACAGACGCCCACTTTTCCTCCACCAGCTTCAAATTACGCAAGGTCTTCGCGCGCCGGTGGTTCACTTGAGAGTCGTTTTGATGCCGTTGCTGAAACAATAGTATTTGTTATACGTTTTGTTAGACAACTGGAAAAGCAGAAGTTACCTTTGGAGGGATTCCCGTGTCTTCTTGAATACTGAAGATGTCCTTACTATACAGAATGAGCGGGAATATTTATTGTATTTTGTATACTAAAAACAACAATGTAATTGAAATAAACAAGAAGTTGTTTATGGTGATTAAAAAACTTTTTTCCTTGTAACATGTTCTGTGGTAATAAAAATTATTGCAGCAACAATTTTAAGTAATGAATTTAATCATGTGATTGGTTCCATCAAGTTCCTTAATAGGCTAATTTGATTAAGAGTTCTTAGGTTTTCGCGATTGTTACACATAGGAAATGAAACTATTTTTCCGGATTTAAATAGCATTCATTTGTTTTTTCAAACAAACCGACGTTTCTTTGAAGTAAAGGGCCCGAAACGTTGGTTTCTTTGAAAAAACCACAGACCACATAAATACTAGTAATAGACTGGTTAGTAGGCGGGGTCCGCGTTACATAGCTTATCACCAGAAGGGCATATGAGTATCAACAGCACGTCAGTCGTCGTTCAAATGTGATGATTATTGATTATTTTGTGGAAAAAATTGAAATATATCGAATTGTACCATTATATCATGTCGCGTAAGAAGCCAAAGTATAAAAAATACACCGGGAGTGATTTCATTTCATTGGTAAATACTAAAACTCTGTATTTTCTAATATTTTGAACAATACAATACTATAATTTCGAAACAAAACTATTTTCTTGCAACTCGGTAATAACAATATGGTTACTAGCCATCGCCGCCGGCAAAAGAACAATTTGAATGATGCTCAATGAATTGCTTGCACTAGTGTCGTATTACACTTGGTACTAGGTCCGCGTGTTGTAATCAAATTATCGATATGTAGAAACTCTGTATCTAGAAACCCGGTTTTGGTTTAGTTCAACATATTTTTTATTATAGCGGTACCAGTGTGTAAACATAAATTGTTTACAGGTATTTAAAAGCTTTGATTACTTAAATGTTTGGTCCCAACACTCGCAATAGTTTATTTGAATTTTCAATTTAAGTAAAAACGATATATTAATGGAAAAAAATGAAATATAGATAGAAGAGGTACAGTGTCCATAATTTTACAATGCACGTAAGTTCATGGAGTATCAAATGAAGACTTTATGAGATTGGAGATTTTCTTTCCCTTATCTACATGACTCCTGTCTCCCTACTTGCTTATTATACGTCACCTTCATCCGCTTGAGTTCTTAGTTTTATCACAGGCATGATTTACATTTGCAGTTTTTGTAATGATTTTTTTAGTTTCCGGCCGGATCCTTTTTAAAGGAGAAATGGGCTGAAGCAACAGGCAGTAAAAACTGGGTACTTACTAAATGAAGCACCATTTGCTATAGTCATTTCATGACATCACATTAAATTATATACATATGAATAACAACCGAAAAATTCATTAAGAAATAAATCATTTGGTTAATCAGGTAATATATGACATGAAACTCAGGGTCGTATTCTAGAACTCTACTCAATGCTCAAGTCAGGATTTGAGTATGGTTTAAAGCACTCAAAATCATACTCAAGTCCCTGCCATTAGGGTTGTATTTCCAGTTCTTGTGTTTCCAGTGCAATCCTAACTTGAGCATTGAGTAGAGTTCTAGAATACGACCCTCAGAGTCGCATTCACAAATTATAGACCACATCTAAATGTGAAAACATTTCTGAAGCATTGTCAGTTATTTTTCGTCAAGTTTTCATGAAACAAATGATTCGCTTCTTCGCCTTCGGAAATAAGTATCTTCATTTTTTTGACAAGCTCGTCGACGTTATCGGTGTAGTCATGTTCAGTCAGTTCAGAAAGAGGTAATTGTTGAACAAATATATCATATTTCAGGGAGAATAAAGATTTTTATGATGACTGTGTTTTAATATTTCAACCCTTCTAGTGATCCGATTGACTTGAAATCTAGTAGGTTAATGAAAGTACGATGACAGTATAATAATTCATTTTTATTGTGATTGTAGCATGTAGCTACGTATACGCACTCGCCTGCGTAGCTAATATCAATTAATATTTGCGTGTAAAACCTTATGCGTATTTGGTAACAAATGTGGGCGTGTAAAAGTCAGCTACGCTATTCTCGAAGAAGTTGCTTTCAATGCTGTTTCCATATACTCCGTGGTTAACCCTAATTATAGCAAGTTTATTGCAATGCCTAGTTCAATATTCCGCTAGTTATGAAACATAATGTCGATATCAATTAAATGTCACTTCCCTATCTGTAGATTGTCAACTTTTTGCTTTCGTTCCAAGAAGTTTATGTTCATAGGATTCTTAGCTTTTATGTGACTAGTAATAATAAAACCTTATTAGATCCAAATAAGTTTCAATTTTTGTTACCAAAAGTTTTTTATTATTGTCTATTTTCGATTGATAATTTATAACCAATCAAAATTATGTTATCTTAATACTAATGTAAGATTACGTTTTGAAATATGTGCGTGTGGCGACACCGGTTTTGATACAAAAGTTGCTTTATGCCATTTGCATTCTTTTTTTTCTTCCGTGGAAAAAATAAAAACGCAATTTATTGCGTATATTTGTTTTTTCGATTAGAATCCCCTAATATTTTATATTTTTTTATATTAAAATACGCGTTTATTTGTTAGAATCCGGAAAAATAGTTTCATTTCCTATAATTTGATTAAGGTCAATATTTTTGTGTCATCATCTCAGGCATCGAAAACTCAAATTTGTGAATTTGAAACCTGTGACTTCATTGCTTTTACATCGCCATGCGAAAACGTTGCACTTCCCTGACCAGCACCAACAGCATCCTGAACATGATAGCGAACCAGTGCCCTACTGGTTACACAAGTTTTCGCACAAGTTGCGCTCTGTCGTGCTAGCCCTACAGCTGGACTGTCCTTACGTAAACATTGTACAATGATCCACATACGTAAATAAGTAGTAGTGTTTTTGTCTTCTCTGTCGTTTTTGTGAACATATACATTAGCATTTAAGCGTAACTGTTACTAACACTAAATGGGTCATAGTTACCTTAAGAAACGAAATATTGTTATTGATATATTATTACTTCAATGTTTAAGTTACGTACGTTTGTTATAATAATTGATACAAATATCGCACATAAAGAAAAATTCCTTTGACCTGACAGGCCTCGAACGTGCATCTGTGACAACCAGGTCCACCGCTCTACCAACTGACCCACAAGATGGAGTCAACAGACCTTACGAATTTCCTTAAGTGTATTGTTACAGATCTTTTCGTATTGGGTATTTTCAACTTTTAAAGCCGTAAAATTTGTTTTCTTTATGTTCGAGCTAGTATTAATAATTATAACAAGCTAGTGGAGTAATTTCACAAAAAAGTAAAATTAATATTAAGTAAAAAATCAATAGTAATTTTGAACGTAAGTATCTTTGTTAATCATTTAGTAGCAACACCTAAAAGTGAAGGAAATCATCGTGTTGAAACCTGCACGTTTGAATGTTCGTAACCCTTGGAAAAAGTGTGAAGTCCGCGTCTGTGACCCAAACCCCATGAACTCTAATTACGATTCAGTTTAGGACCTAAAATGCAACGATGTGAGACAGAGCTACATGAAGTGTATATCACCATCCCGCTTTTTTGTCGTTACGAACCTATACTGAACTGTAATAAGAGTTCATGGTAAGTAAGACCGCTGTACATATCGTTGGTGTTTTGTAGAAAAGGTGAAAGCTCCATTTCGAAAACTTTTTCAGGGGAGCATATTGTTGTAGTTTCTCAAGCCTGCTTTAAAATATACGCGTCCTATTTCAATTTCAATTTTAAAACTAATAATTATAACCAAAATTTAATTTGAATATTGTCGTCAACCTAAAACGTGTCCCCTGAAACATTTTTCGAAATGGCGCTTTCGCCTTTTATACAAAACACCGACGATAATTATATTGTACACCCGCAGCAGGTAAATTGTGACTACAATCATTATGTTTGTAAGATCTTGGCGTTGCATTCTATTGTATTGCTAAAGTACCATTACGTTTAATGAAATTCTTAATTCAGCACAATAACACGAAAATTTCCTTCCTGGGATTGCTTTTTGCCTACACCAAATTGCCAGCTTACGTAAAGGAGGACTATAATTTTAGAATTATTAAACGGTTGTCCATTACACGTGCTCGCGACCTTCACTTCTTCCATGGCCTTGTTCAAAAAGGCCTATAGAGTTTTTTTGTACCTAATGTTACATGTTAACAGTGAAGGAATTAAAACTAACTTGCCGACGAATATTTATATATTGTACATACAAATTTACTCATTCAGCGTACCTTTCCTGACTAATGACATGGCATCATAAGGGACTCACCACATTTATTCACATCGAATCGCCTTGAGCCGTACAGAAAAACCTTTACATTCATGCAATAAGAGCGAAGAAGAAGTTGCACATTACGCTTCCGTTCATATAGCCGATGTGAAACATATAACGTCATTTTCGTTCTTTATCATATGGGCATACATTTTTTTCTGACCGACTAAATGCGATTCCATGTCGATAAGTGTGGTGACTCTCTAAGACAAGTAACATAACTCCTTAGAAAAGTAGCAGCGCGTCTTGTATGTGTGCACGCCTACCGGTATCACGGTGCACTCGCGTTGCACAGCGCGGGTCGCACGCGCCATTCATTATAGAATTGAAGCGTTTGGTCGATGTTTAAAAAAATGAAATGCATATTTGTTTTTTGTTGCTTGAACAAGAGCGCCTGATATTACGAATAATTCAACATTTAATTTCTATTTCATAATCATACTCCCATTATCGAGATACCCATTCGCGATGCTGGTATAAGAATATCAATATGTAAGTACTACATTTGACAAAGGTTATTTCAATGTAGCACGAGAATACTGTGATGATATCTTAATTTTTCAAATTATTTTTGACGGACGAAATTAGCTAGATACACATTGATTACAAATG